TCATCCCAGTAATGTAAATATCAATGCAGGCCTTATGTGAGGGCTGGATCCTGCTGTAATAAATTGGATTAAGGGCTATTTTTACATTCCTGCCTCTGGAGGGGCTTTGGGGGTCCTGGAGGCAGATGCATGTCATGGCTGGGTACTGGCAGCCCTGTACCCACTTCTAGAGGGGTCACCAAGCACCTGAGTGAGCCAACCCAGGCTTACCTGGGGGCAGCATGGATGAGCTTCCCACCAGCAGCAGAAACAAGGGAAATCATCTCCCATTGAACTTGCTGCCTTCTTCCACCTCCTGATATGCACCAAGACTCGATGCTTTCACAGCAGCCCTCTGCCTACACCAGGACAAGCCCCTTGAGAGACCTCAGGAGCAGATGTGGGAGCTGCTGGTGCTGCTCATCCAGGTGAGGTTTCTCTTCCACCCATTTGCTTTGTTGCCTTCTTGGAGAGCAGAGCTCAGTGAATTTTTTTTTATTTTCCCATTAGGAAATGAGCTGAGGAAGATGGTGGCTCCTCAGGGATATATCTGTAAATCAGGAAGGCACTCGAGCAGTAACATCAAAAAATAATGATGTAAAAAGGGTAATTGTTAAAAACAAAATAATGTATTTTCTGTAATTATGAATATTTACCAGATTAGTTGGATTTTCCCACCACACTCTATGATGGAGGACTTTTTGGCTGGAATCGTGAAGGATTTGAAACAGTCTGAAAATCCTAACTTCTTTGAAGCATCTGAGACCCTGAATAAATCCCAGGGGAATTGGACTCCCAGCATAGCAATTCTGGGGACACCCAACATCAATGAAAAAGTTGTTGCTAAGTGGCCAAAAATTTCCCTCTTCCCTTCACTGCTGGGCCCAGCATAACTTTTGGTGGCCACGACTCTTCCACCCTTATCCTTTCTGCCGGTAAAATAAGCTGTGTGTGTGTTTTGGCAGGGCTGTCACACCAGCCCTCGCAGGTTTTGTGTCTGGCTGGACACTGCAGCAGCAGGTGCCATCCACAGCCTATGCCCAGCACCAGCTCTTGCTGGAGCTTGTTTTATTTAGCTGAGGAGATGGGGAGAGCAATAGGGCTTTGCCTGGGTTTATAAACGAGAAAGGTTTGCCCTCTGGGTCCATGTTATCTGGCAAGATTAGCAAGCCTCCACGTTTGGTGCAGTGACATTTCTCTGTTCGCTGTGTGATCGATCTTTAAAGTGCCTTTCTAGTCAATATCAAAATTCCCAAGATTTATCTTAATACTTTGGACAGATGGCTTCTATTGATTTGAATGGAAGTTGTGGAGAGGGGATATATATTGGGAGTTCCTGGTAACTGTTTACAGAGCAAACAGTTTCCACCTGCTCTCTATTTTATTGTGAAAGCCAAGGATCACACAGCTGCAGAATTTAACAGATGACCACTGGGTACATTGGAAGCACGTCCCACCAGTTGTTACCCCACCTGCCTCTGCTCCACCACACATAGTTTACCCAGCATCTGGGCAGCTGTGGGATCTCCACATCTGGCTCTGAGGTCTCCACACGTTTCCAAGGGGGTCTCTCACCCGGGAGGTGCTTGTGCCTCGCCTCCCACTCTCCATGCTCAGAAGAAAAGACAAGAGTACTCGCATACACGTCCCAGGCAACATTTTTTTCTCCTGTTTATTTCAAAAGCCTTTGTAGTAGCTTAATTGTAACATTCCAAAGGTCACCTGGAATATGACATCCTCCCAGGTGTAGAGAATCCATACTCCATCATGTTTCACGGCATTAAAAACCACACAGGAATGTTCCCTGGACACCAGCAGTGGGTTCTTCTGCAGTCTCCTTAAGCACCAGCTCTACACATCCTCTGCCAATGCCTCTGCACCGCTCTGCAAAGCAGCTGCACCTCAGCTGTCTCTGCCTCCTGGGTCCATAGCCATGTTTCTGTGAATGAAGGGGTGCCAAGCCCAAAATACCCATTTTTGTTTGCAAACTGCATATAACAAACCAGTAGAAATGTGATCCGTGTTTGATTGGCTTTGTATATGGCTTTTAGTCCTCTTCATTCAGAGATCTTACAGTGGAAAAATCCTGAGCTGACATCAACAATGGGACTGATTTGTTAAGAGCCCTCACAATTATGGTATAAATTGGAGGCTAAGTTCCTGTCAACCCAGGATTAAAGCATTTTTAAAACTGCCACTTGTTTAAATAGATTTCAATCTTGAAATTTATTCCAGTTCAATGTTTTGCAAGGAAGCATTATCTGAAAGAGAGTAAAAATCTATGTTTTCCAATCAACAATTTGTCAACAATCAACAATCAAATCAACAATTAATAGAGGAATTTGTGTTTCTTCATTTCACCTATTAACTTGGTAAACACAGCCAAAATTGTGATGGAAAAATACATGCATCTCCTTTTGACTTCTGCAGGCATTTAAGTCATTCCATCTATTTAATTAGGCTATTTACTACCTGCAATTCAACCAAGTTCAGATTCAAGCCACAGGAACACTGGCTTCTTAGACCCCACCATCTCTTTTGGCCTATTTAGGTAATCTCTGTGTGATTTGACTCTTTGGGAGTATGTTGAGTGATGTCAGGCACTGGGCCCTGCTGCAGCAGGATGGCAAAATATCCTTTTTCTCTGACCAACACTCAGCTGAAATTTCTCTTAGTTGTTAAAAATGTCCCTGGCTAATAACCCATAAGCACCAGTGACAGTCAATTGCTTGTGTAACTCTGGCCAACATCCTCTGATTTCAGTACCAGGCACGTGAAATGTCCCTAACAGTGTAGAAACAGATGCAGAGATTTGTTCAAAAAGTGCCATTTTGGTGCTGCAGCTGTCTGCAGGGCAATGTCCAGCACCCCAAACATCCAGCTGATGCTCTGCTGAACCCAAACTTTTCCCCCTGCCGTGAAAACATCTAGCTGCTGCAAACAGAGGCAGCAATGCTCACAGCTTTTGCATGTGAGATCCTTACTCATTTGTGATTATTTTGCTTGTCTGAAATGCTGATAATGGGTGTTTGGGTTTTCTGTTTGGGTTTTTTTACTCCTTTTTTTGAAAAACCATGACCACTTGAAGGTCAGCTGCCAAATGGACTGAATGATCAGTGCAGAAAAATTGAAAACCATAACATCTTGTGTGTAGGCTGTGAATAATGGGCAACACCCTTTTGATCATTAAAATAGAAAATGATCTCTCTGTTTTCCACTGTTTTTAGCCCATTAAGAAGGCAGGGATAAGAGCACATCGTTGATGATTTGCACCACTCTCCTGGCAGTACGATCCCTGGCTTCAGACCAGGGGCTGGCAGTGGGATGGATCCCACCCTGGCAGGGGCTTGGCTGAAGGAGGCAGCTGTGGTTTGCCATGACATTCAACTGCTCTCCAAAAACCACAGAGTCCCCAAGGCAGGGCCATTCTGTCCATTTTCTGCTGGGGACTGGACCAGTATTCATGGTCCACAGGCAGGCTTAAATGTGGGGATGGAGGCAAGCCCATCCCTGAGCACTGTGCAGACCAAGGCATGTCCTCAGATGCATTTTGCTTTCTTAAAGAAAATAGAAGCCTTGCATGCCCTGGTGCTGGCAGAAACCAAGGCTTTTTCCCAAAAGATGCAAGTGCATTGAGCATTGGAAAAGAATGATAATTTTGTGACACATGCCTGAGCACTGGGGTCCAATTGTTTATTTTAGCACCTTACTTTCTGTTCAGAACACCACTTTCTTTTGTTGATTCACTGTACTGGTAAGACAATTTTTCTTGGTTTCACCGATAAAGATCTCTTAGCAAATATAGCCAGACTCGGTAATTGATTCATCTTACATTATTTATATATGCTGTCATCATATGGAAAGTCTAAACAAATCTATCAGTTTTGTGAGAAGGATCACAGTGGGATTGCTGCTTTGCCAGTGCAGAGGCACTGCAGAGAGCAGACTGAGTCGACAGCTGCACCTGTGTCCCAAACTCTCCAGTTTCAGGAAGGACTGAGGGCTCAGAGGTGGCCAGAAACAGCCTAGCACAGGCTACAGCACTTTGCTGTGCTTCTCAAGGGAGGCTCAATGCTATGTCCATTATCTTTTTTTTTTACTTTTTTAGTACTGCCAAACGTCTCCTGAGGCTCAGCAAAGGGAACTGCCTGGATCTACCCAGCCAAGCTGCTTTAACCACCCCAGTGCCAACTCCCAGCCAGCAAACCAACCTCCAGAATAACATGGTTGTGTATCAAGAGTCCATCCTTGGCCCTGCAGTGGCCTTTTTTGATAAAAGTGATTAGCAGCCAGTTGAGCCCTGTGATTTATGTTCCTTTGCTTGAGTTGAAATTGCATTAGCATGCCCTTGGTTTGCAATGGCCAAAGAGGTACAAATATTTAGGTTTTGAAGGTTTATACATGCAATTCCGTTTGCAGCAATCAGGCAGGCTTGGTTTCAGTCCCTCTAAAAGCTCCATTCACAGGAGCAAATGTGCAGCATAGGGCATTTTTCAAATGGGACTTACATACTTCTGACTTTCAGAATTTGAAACAGATAAAATGGGAAAATGAAATAGGCAGGCCTTTTTACACAAAAACTGAATCATTACCATCCTTCACAGAATTCATGTCAAGCAATTCTGTTGGTAGGAAAAATATTCAGTTTTCTAATTTCAACCATGGTGTATTTTACAATCAGACTTTAGATTTTACAAAACAATTTTAAAAAAGAAAAACGTTCAGAAAGAGACTAATTTTGGTGTGTCTGGGAACATTTGCTGGTGTTAATATTTCAGCTATTTGCAACCAATGCAAAAGGGAAAGTGATACCAACCAGAAAACAGCACAAAACTGGTCATTCCTTCTAGAATTCAATGCAGAAATGAGGAAAAAAAAAAAACAAACAGGGGAATTATCTCCAGAAGTAAAATTTTGAGGTTTGTAGTAGGAGCTACTCAGCTCAGCTAAAGAGATCTATTGATCTGTGCCTTTTCAAAAAGAAACAAAAGAATTTCAAAAAGAAACAAAAGAAACAGGAATACTTTTCAACAGGTTATCTTGAAACTAGAGTAATTTAAATTGGCTGGACATTTAGAATGAACATTTTTACTGAGAGTATCCAACAAAGTAGTATTCTAGTGACCTAAAAATGGGTTTGTATATGTAGAATTACAGCATTTTTATTTTTGTAAATAAACAATGTTTACACACACAAAACCCCCCACACAAACAACCTCCCCATCATTTTTTCAGATGTGCTTTCAGATACTGAGGTTTTACAATAAAACTGGTACTGAATTCTTGCACTGCCTGTGCAGCCCATGGATGTTACTAGGAGCAAAAATTTCCTGGACTTAATTTTACTTGCATGTAATAGGAAATTATATCTGTTGAGAAAACCTTGTGTTTGATTTGCACATTGTCAGAAATACTGGGAATTTTTTCACGTTGTTTATGTATGTTATTATAAATGCATTAATTTTGCATTGGCTCACTGGCTTTAAAAAGTATTCCTAGAGTCTGCAAAGTACAAAAGGAATATGGGGACATCTTTGTATTCCTTAGGTTTGGAAAAGCATCACCTGCTGAAGGTCTGATCCTGACAACACTTGGGATGTTGGGATGTTACACACTTTCAAACCCAGCTACATCCTCATGCCAAGTCTGGGCTTGGGAGCTGGCTGGGACATTCCTGGGCATGACATGACCCTGGGACTAGGAGGACTTGGAGATATGGAAATCTGTACCTCTGATACACCCAAAATATGGATCAACGCTGTAAGGGACCAGCATGGCTGCTCTCCAGTAAAAGCTGGGCAATTAACTTCCTAGAATCAGTGCTGAATGAAGATGGTGTGGTCCCTTCTCCCCTGTGTCTCACAAAATACCTCTCTCCATGTTCCAGAGGAGGTAGCTGAGCCCACGAGGGAGCTCCTTGAGGGGGGTGACGGTGTCACAACGTTGTGTGACGAGGAATAAATGCAGGAGTAAATGCAAAGTAAGTCTTTGGTTTTCTGCTGGATTTGCTGGGGAACACTTCTAAGCCTCTCCCTTTCCCCATGCTTTTCATTTCTCAATAACAGCACACTTGCTGTAGTTTTTTCCCTCCATGCTAAATTGCCAGACTTTTTTGGGTAATTTGCAGTAAACTGTATCTGTATTTACTCCCTCTTTTTTTCCAGGGAAGGACAAAGCACAACACATTTGAAGGCTGCACATCTGCACCCCCACTCTGGAACCTTAGAGTTTGGATTTGGATTGGCTAAGAGAAGATTTGGGCTTTAGATTTTGGATAAAGTTTGGATTTGACCTTAGACCTCTTCTTGCCAATGCAAAATGTAGGGCAATTGCATTTTCTTTTTGAGGGGTTTAAAGAGATATTGTAATTAAAGGGTGGATGTTACCCATTTAGAAAACAGAGAGAGAAAGAAAAAAAGATGTGTGTCTTCATTGGTAGCTGCACTCAGGCTGTGGCCATGTAAACTAAAGCAGTCCTTCCAAAGTGCCATTGCTACACAATGCATACTTTCCCTTATTTTCCACAATGTAGTGCTTCTCTTTCCCTAGCATTCATGAAAGCATAATTTGAGCTCAAACATGGACGTATTCACAAAAAAAAAATAAAGGAAAAAAAATAAATTGCATATTGGTTGTACAATGCACCCTTCATTACTTATTTTGTGTGAGTCAAGTAGTAATTTTTCCTAATTGAATTTATTATGTAACACAGCATTTACTGTATTATTTAAATGTAACACTGCAGATGTGTGTTGGTTTTGGAAAGGCACATTAGTAATCCAATTAGAGCAGCAGCCATACCCACAGATTTGCTAGGCTAGCAATCAGCAAAGTATGGCTTTGTTGAGATTAGCTCTGAACATTCACTGAAATGATCTGCCACTGAATATTTTTCAAGTTAAAGGCTAGAAAAATACTAAAATGTGAGAATGGTCTCATTGCTACAGCTGATTTCCATATAGTCATAAATTCATCCCACGCAGGCAATCAGGTTTATACTGAGCCCACATGCTTGGCTATATGACCTCCACTGCTGCTAAAGTCTTTCAGCAGCAAGGCATGACTGAAATATGAGTAAATGGTCATGGTATACTCAAATTTTCACCCACAGAAAGCTGGGGAGGAGAAAAGACTGGAGGCCAGGGCTGAAGCCATGCTGGGACAGCAGCACTACATCAATGGGGGCACTTCTGGGTAACCTGAGCACGGCACAGGGCAGCCCCAGAGAGATCTAGTGGGATTCCTGCCTTCCACCAGTAATTCTGGTTGCAATCAGAGTTGGTAACTGCCTAAAGAACCTCCCTTCTGCAGGGAGGCAAGCGCAGCCTTGTCCCTCAGACACTGCTGTCTGTGGCTGAGCTCACTGAGACTGCTCTGAACATCTACATGGTCTGAAGGATGTCCTTCACACTGCAAGGAAATAAAGAGCCACTTGAATTTTTTCAAAGTGAGAACTGTGTTTGCAGATGGGAAGAAAACAATGAGAACCAGATGACATCTTGCTGTCACTCCAAACTTTGTCCAAGACACACATGGGGAAAACAGACCCCGAGAGTTCAATGTAGTAACTTGCCAAATGCTACAGGTTTCACAAGAAATTAATCTTTGTGAATGACCTCCAGGGCTAAGAGAAGATGTCACTTGAACTTGGTCATTGTTGCTCATAAATTCTCACCTAAGTTTTAATTTTCATCTGCAAAGTATTAGTGCAGGTGCCAGGTGCATGTGGTATCTCCTTTGTCCAAGCAGCTCACACCCATGCCACTGCTGTTCTCACTAGGGGCCAGCTCACAGAGAAGTCCTAATTCCTGCAGCTTTCTGCTGCTCCTGATTGCTCTTCCCTGGGCTCAGGCAGCAAAAGACCTATATGGGAGACAGGATCTGAGCTCAGGTCTGTGCTGCCTGTAGGCTCAGCAGGCAGCTGGGATGTCTTGGTCTGTGTAAGCAAAGAGTTACAGCTGCTGCTCTACAGGGTGATGCAGAGGGGGTTGTACCAGGGAAGATGAACTTTTAAAACCTAAGTCAACCGTATTCTTTCAAGGCTATCCATAATTAATTCTGAAAAAACAAAAAACATTTGAAGGATGTAATACAACTCCCAAGTTACCTGAAAAGAAAGTGCAATCTAGTGCAATGTGCTTTCACTTTCCCAGTCTGTTCCTCCCATTTCCATCTGATTTCTTGTGCTTCGGTCTGTGTCCAGGTATTGCTGGTATCTGCTTTGTCTGTGAAAATGAAACACCAGGAGGAACTGCACTTGGTGCAACTGGTGCATGTTTAGGGGTTAATTCACAAATGGAGCAGGCTGCCCTGGGGAATCTGAGTTGGACTACACACAATAAAAGTTTGAAGAGGAGTTGGCATTAAAAAAAAAAAGAAAAGCTAAAGGAAGAGCACAAGGGACTAGGAAAGACTCATCTCAAACCTCCTATGTCCTCTTGGCTCGTGTTGTCATGCACAGGGGTGATGGGTGCCCAGGTAGGGCTGGCAGCCTGCCAAGTAGAGATTTGGAGCTTTGTTTCCATGCATCCTTGAAAAATACTTCTGCTACTGAATATGAAGGAACTGTAAGGCCACCCTTCAGCAGATGCTTCCCAGTGAGACCCAGGTCACTGTGCTCTGACTCTCTCATAAACTGAGCTTTGCTGAGCCAGATGTGTTTGGGGTTTTTACAGGACTTAGATATGGCCTGGTGCTCCCTGTGGTTGACTTATATCAACTTCTGGGGATATGTGACCTGCACAGGTAAATAACTGGGCATGCACTTTCTATGCCTCTGAGGCTAAGGAGAAGCACAGTGGAGATTATCAAGGTCCTTGGGTGTAAGTAAACATTAGATCTAAGTGGCGAGAGCAGCAATCTGATGCCCAAATCCCTTGAGATGCCCAGATCTAAGAGTTGGTCCAACTTCCTCTGGAGTTAATAGGAACTGCAAAGGGTCCTGCAAAGGCACCCCTGTGACTGATGGCACCAGAGAGACTTGGAAACATTTCAATCATGTTACAGCAGACTGTGTGTCTGCCTTTGCCTGGACTCAGAAAAAGTACAGAGGAGGAATGTACAATTTCATATTACTTCACTGTAGTTGCCAGGCTGGAATAAGTAGTTTGAAAACAATTCACAGATTTACAGTTTAAACAGGATCCTAATCATAGCTGTAATATTTATCCTTTAAAACAACTCACTGAAAATAAAAAGCCTCCTTAATTTGCAAATTTGTTACCATAAAAAATAAGAGTTCTTGAGCTCACAAAATGTTGATACATTTGAGCAAGTTTTTATGAGCGAAATAATAAACAGGTAATTCTTGCTGTGGCTTGGGGCCCTAGCTGTTCAAACTCCTAAGCCCTCTGGGACAGCCTGTCTGTCCTGATTTATGTAATAGTTCTAATGAGTAATAGTCCTCATGATGACAAATGCACCAAGATACAACCCTAAGAGGTCGGGCTGCAAAAAAAAAGCAGGGTACTATTCACTCTTTTGATAAACAAACACATAAATCATCATTGTAAGAGATTTACCTGTGGGGGTAATCCCAAGGGGCAATAACAAATTCTTTCATTCTTTTGGCTCTCTGCCTGTGCTGTTTCCCTTGCATCTCTGGAAGGCACCTGCCTGAACTGGGTCCTCCAGCAGTCAGAGTCTTCTCCAGACCATGACCTGTCCCTGTACATCCTGCCTAAATTTATCTTTCAGTGGGCTTCAAAAGGAGCCCCGAACACCTCCTCCTGCCTCCTTAAAGAGGATGAGTGCACAGACAGTCGGGCACTCTGACAGATGGACCTTGAGGAGTCTCTCTACCACCAAGAGAACTCCTGCCTCTTGAATGCAGCCCCTACCATATCACAGCATTTTAAGTGTGAGTCTGTGCCAGCTGGAAACACGTTACAATCATCACTGCTTGTTTCTGGCCAAACACATCTTGATAAAAGCTGTGACATTTACAGTGCGATACAGACCCATGTGTGATGATTTATCTCCAGCTCTGATTCCTTTTGGTTAGGAAAAAGATACATTCAACACCATAATTCAGCTGGCAGGCTCAGGTGTGCAAAACCTCCAATTTAAAGTTGGTTTTCCAAGGGTAAATTCCAAAACATTTTACACTTCTACAGATTTAAAAGAAAGCAAAAATGATGGCTACTCCAACCCCATGCAAAACAAAGTAAATAGAGTAAAATATCTATATAAAATTTCATGGAAATATTTTCAAACATTTCTAATATTCCTAATTTGTGTTCATCAGCTTGTTCAATTTATTCAGTGACCAACCTACTACTCTTGTATCACCCTGAAACTAGAGCCTTCTGATTGTTTAGAATATTGTTCACTTTTCTTTTTTCTTTTTCTTTTTTAAAGGAGAAAGGGTGAAATGTCACCCTGGAAACTGAAGCCTTCTGATACTGTTTTCATAGTTTTAGTTACATTCACATGAAAGTAACATAAACCTAAGTTGTTTATCACATTCCTTCTAAGAACCATCTTTTGATGGACGTTTCTCATGACCAGTGTGATTGGGAAGGTGGTAACTTAATTATCCAATCCCTGGTCATTGTTGAGAATCTATAAATACTGGAGTCAGAGAATAAAGGGACAGTTTTTTGTTCTGACACTGAGAGATGTTTGTGTGAATCATTTTATGTCCTCTAGCGACACTCATGGTCTTGCCTACAATTTTCTAGTAAGTTTTCAAGAGAAGGCTTCTCAGAATATAAGCTTAAGGGTTTGTTTCTTGCTTGGAATCAGCAGAAGCCGTTTTATCATCTTCACAATGTAGCTGAGAGAATTTAGAGAAATGATCCAGAGCTGTGCGTGAATTTTTGAATGAGGTTTGCAGCAAATCCCCTGCATCCACTTGTCATGCTAAACTACACACTCTAGACCAGATTTGCTTTTGGCTCTTCAGTGGTTTGGGCTAGCACAGGTTAAATATGGCTTAAGATGGTAGCAGCAACAGCCAAAGGCCAATTTATGACTTGGTATCAACATTTTGGGGGAAGCCAGCTTCTGGGGGATGTCCAAAGCAATGCCCTTCTGTACAACCTGCACAGTCAAAATTGTGGGAAACAAATACAGGGTTGGAGCCCTCAAAGAACTGCAAGGAAATTATTTGCAAGAATCTCTGCAACAATACTGCAGGAGTAAGAGATGCAAATTTAGGACAACAGAGAGCCTACATTCATTTTAGTGACTTATTTCAATGAGAAAGTAATGAAGTAAGCATTTTTGTGGTGATGCAAACATTTGGCACCAGAGGTGCATACCAGCTTCTCTTGCATTAAACGAAGCCAGTTCTGAAGATGACAATTGCCTGTTTTCTGTTATTCAGTAGGTAGGAAAAGTTTTGTACGCTTCAACGTGGTCCTTGATAATCCCCTGACTTTTAAGAGTTAGGTGGCAGGTGGTCTTTCAGACAAGCCTGGCTGACCTCCACCATTTGTAGGAGGGGAGTTCAGCCCATTCCATCCTCTGCCACTGAAGTCACTGGGGTTACTGAAGTGAAGCACAGTCACCCTAAAGCTGGTGTGACGACAGTCACCTACGGGCATGTCATACAGAGGCCTGCTACGAGGGATTGCTGAAGAGCACTGAGTACCAGGCTCAGGACCACACCCAGACCTCAGCAAACTGTGAGATACTCGTTAGCCAAAACTTACCAAGCCCATGTTTGAATCCAGAGCCCAGCTTGCCCGCTTCATGCCTTTTAACAACAGAGTTTGGGTTCAGGCTCCGTTCTGAAGAAGAACATGTTGGTTTTGACACCATCCTAACCATACACACCATCCTTCTGTAATTGCACCAGATTCTGCATCAAAGACATCCAAGTATCATTTAAAACCCCCTCAGGGGAAAATTGTAACATAATGGTAAAGATCTCACTGCATATTAGAGAAAACTTATAAAACCCCCAGGAAGTAAAATGCTGAACACCCAATCAATACCAAGGCTGTCTCTGACATGTAAAACCTTCCAGTAGCTTACGTGGTAATTCCACCCTAACCACCATTTTATTTTTATTTAAGAAACAAAAGGAATTCCAAAAACTCTACCTAGAATCACTTGTTTCTGCCAAGCGGTTGTTCATGATGGCCAGAGCCCCCACCCCCGCGGAGAAACCGTTCTGTCTCGTATTGATACAGACATTCCTCGGGTAGCCATTGGCTGTCTCGGACAACTGCTTCTGCAAAATGGCCAGGGAGACTTTACTGGAGGCTGTGAGCTCCCTCATGGAGATCATCTCTCCAGAGAGCCTCCTGCCCTCGGTGTCACTGTCGTACTGTCCGTCAGTGTCCACGGCGACGTTGTGGCGGCGCAGGCGGGCTCCTGGGGTGATGGCGTTGCGACGGCTGAGGCGGGTACTGGATTTATGGCACTTTGGGCAACATCTGCATTCGAATTTTTTCAACACCCAGTTCAAAATTTGTTTGATTACAATTGAGATGACGTTAAAAAGGGAGTATATGCAACATACCCCCATTAATATAAACATGAAGTTCCCGAATCTGTATAATCCCTGATGTTGGTACACAGCCTTTTGGCTGCTTACCAAATCTCCAAAGCCAATGGTGCTGAAGGTGACAAAGCAATAATACAAGGAGTCAATGTAGTTCCACCCTTCCACTGCCGTGTACATGGCGGAGGCGCAGCAGGAAAGGGCAATAGCAAAAATTCCCAGGATCAGCATCACGTGGTAAACGGACGGCTTCCAGCCCACGAGGCTGCCCACCCCGGACACCGCTGGCCCCCTTCGGAAGTTGGCAGGTAGGAGCCCACTTCTTCGCAGCTGTCTCTCGTAGCACGCCTTCATGATAAATGCCAGGAGGGAGATGATGCGCTCCAAGAAGAGGTTGAAGAAGAGGATAGTCCCGGCACACCCAAAAAGGCCATAAATGATGAGGAATACTTTTCCAGCCACGGTTGCTGGTGTGGTCATTCCAAAACCTACGGTGTGGAGACAAATGGGCAACGTTAGTAACACAGGTTTTTGTGAGTAAGCTCAGGATATATGTACCTTAACAAGGCTCCCATCTCGCTGGACAAAGAGAGTGCTATCTCTAAGGCAGCTTAGGCCAACACGAAACCGAATTTCGTAAAGAAGGAAGAAGGCAACAAAAGTTCAATGGGATGACTAAACCTCAAAAGTGAGCAAAAAATCCTTGCAACATGAGAGGATTATTATCTGTATTGACAGAGCAACACCACTCAAAATGCAGGTGGAAGACTCACTGAGCCCAAACCTTTTCGAGGTGGGGAGAAGATGGAAGTTTTCAGTTTGTATAGCAGGAAAAAAAATCCTCCTCCCAACTACTGAATGTTGTTTTAAAAATAACAGCACTTTTAAGTCTTTTCCAAATCCCAGCTGTGACCAGCCCACCTGGTATCATCACAGAGGGAAGGAAAAGCCATCACGCTGCAGAGCTGCCTGGCAGACTGGGGGCATTGGGAACTTGCAGATGGATCATTACAGCAGGGAGAAACACTGCTGCACAGTTGAATAGAAAAATCAGAGTATACAAACGCTGGGAAGATTCAGCAACAATATTAATTCAACTCTTCTTTATATGAATTACTTATTGTAATATTCCTTATTATTATAACATTACTCATACACAAAGTTTTATAAGTAAGCAGTAATGCCTTGTAGCTAACAGTTGGTTAAATAACAGCAAAATTGAACTTAAATTAGCATGAAAATAAATACAGTACGTTTACTCCATGTGATTTGCTGATACCAGTTATCATATGAAAAACACATATATTTCATATCCTATTCCAAGAAGATTCTTCTAAAACTCACTTCTGAAGGTATTTGCTTTGTTCTGCTATTCTTCCCTGTAGAAACACTTGGTGACTCAGGCAAAAAACATATTGACAGGATTGAGGTGACTGTTTATGTCCCATGAATAAATAACCACATCTAATCTAAATTAAAGTTTTGTGAAAAATCCACATTCTGAAATTTCATTGCTGTATTGTTCCACCAAAATACCGAGCAAGCAACTTATTCAAGGAGGTAAATATCGACACCAGACTATATAAACAGAAGTTTGAGAAAAAAAAGCATAGAGGATAATGAACTCATTACAGGGCATAATGAAATAATTAAATCCAGTTTAATTACCATGACACACCTTTATAAACAGCAATAGGATAATATTGCCTATATATAATGAGTTGAGATTACTGCTTGAAATGTACTGATCTATTTTTGCAATGGCTGAATTTTTCTGGGTAGTTTATTTGTGCTCCCTTCTTACTTTGTTGATAAAGAATTTCCCATTGCTTGATAGAAGAATGTAAATGCTCATGACAAGTAAACTCAGACGTATCTTTTCAGTGACATGAAGATGCATGAGAGAAGAGGTGGTCCTACTTTCACAACAGACTTGGCAGGCTCAGAAACAGCTGTGTGCCAGCAAGTCAGTCTATACCTCATAACCTGAGTAACCTGCTCTAGTGAGAGGTGTCCCTGTCCAGGTGAACAGATGACCTTTCAAGTCTCTTCCAACTCAAACCATTCAATGATTTTATGATCATAAGCATCATTATAAAAAGAGTGTTTTCCGTAAAAGTCAGTGAAAAACTTGCACAGTATTACCAGAAAATATTACCTAAGAGATCATTACATTTTGCTTTCTGGACCCACCATCTGTCCATTCTGCAGTGTTAACAAGACCACCTTTGAGCAGACCTCACGGAGCCTGCCACGGGCTCTGGGAATTTCTCAGTTCCATCTTCTCTGTGGGGTGGACCTGTTCTCTGGGTTGGGCTGGCTGCTAGCAGGAGTCTTCCCATTCATCATGATGAATATCCAAAAGTGCCTGGTCCCCAGAAGGAGCCTGTTGTGGTTGCCAGCTAGGGATACACAGCCAACTTGTTATGGAGAAGGCATCTGTTTGCCTGTGCCTTGTCAGCAAAACACTTAAAACATGTGCTTCACAGCAAGCATGTGAACATCACCATCAAAATAACTCGTTTTTGTCACACATACAGCTAGACACATTTATTAATTAGTTAAGAAAGAAAGAGATAGCGACAGTTTGGATCAAGCTGTAAATGCGCTGAAGCCTTTTAGTATTTTCTGGTGATCATTCAAGAGAGGTGGTGAAGTTTTATATTTTTGATGCTGTTTGTTTGATCAAGATTTTTCTGAAGCAAAACGCTACCAAAATTCAGTATGTAGCTAGGCAAGGTGAAAGGGCCCATCACAGCAATGAGAATGCTAAGAAATAAATAAAACAGGCGGCAAATGGATCCAGGCCACTTAGGTTGGAAAAGACCTTTAAGACCATTGAGTCCAACTGTTACCCCAGCACTGCCAAGCCACTGAAACACATCCTGTGCAGGGTCTTCCTCTGCCAGCTGTGTCTGTCCCTTGGTGTCACCCCAACCACAAGGAGTTGGTCCTGGTACGTTCTGTACCTCACCTCTGAGCTCAGCCCCCGCCCCAGGCTGAGAACACCGTGATGCCTGGATGAAGCAAACTCATCCAGAACTGCCTATGCTTCTAACACAGCACGAGGGAAAAGCACAACAGGGCTTTGTGTTTTTCATGGCCCTGAGACATATTTTACAGGTGCCTTGGGGTTGACTTTGTGTGGCTCAGATGCAATACCTGAACCTCCCTCACACAAATTCTGCCCCACCACTTCAGATACAAGCTCTATGGTAGCATTAATTTCAGATGGTTGATATTTCTCCTCCCCAAAGAGAATTAGTAGAGATGAGCTGATAAAAACTCTTTGCAGCAGCCCCTCATGGTTAAATGCCGGCATTTAGTGAGACCCTCATCCTGACTTGCATAAAAGGTTTGTGGTTACAATTCTGCTCATCTGGAGTTTTAAATTACTTAAGCTAGGGATGGATTCGAGAGGTAGAACAGATGGACAAACTTGTGACATATGCTTCCTGTTGCTCTTGCTTTCTTTTCTTTTACCCACTTTCTTATGAGTAAGAGGTGGTTGATGCCAGAAGACAGAAAGGAATAGCAGCTTTAGTACTTGTGAGCTCTTCTCTCAGTCAAATCACTTTGGCAATTACCTTCTTTTACTATATTTTGAGATTAAAGGGGGTGACAGTTTTGCAGAAAATATGTATTTACCCAGAGATACAATAGTCTTGGTCACCTCAAAAACTGAACACAAGAAAGTCACAAAAAACACAAGAAAGGGCATCATGTGACCCTGTCTCTTCCAGCCACCCCAGCTCTTCTTACGCAGGTGTCCTGCCACAGGACTTCACTCACACAGCAGGTCAGCACACTGGAGCAATCATTTGAAATCCCAGAGTGAAACAGCACTTAGATCATCAAAGTAGCATCACCTCTATACCACTGTGTAACCATCATGTATTTAAGGAAACCAAAATAAGCTAAAATGGTTGAAAGTAACTTTTTAAACAAATGGTTCCTTGGAGATAAATGACAGAAACAACTATAACCAGAATGCTGCTTCCAGAGGGAAAGAAGTTCTTGCATCATACAGGCTAAGAGATGGGGGTTACAAAGAAACAGAGACAGAAACAAAGAGCTACCAGTTTTCATGTTTTCCTCCTTCCTGTCTTTTCTGCACTTGCTTTACTTCATAGCTCTCCAATAGGCGTGGTTGGTCTTCACTGACTAACACGTAAACCATACATCCTAGTCTGAATCCCATGCTTGGGTTCTGGGGCTTCCTTCCACCCTTTCCCACCTGTTAGCATTTCATCATTATTTCCCCTGAAAGCCATACCTGTGTATTTTACAACTGCCTCCCATTTATTCCCTAGTTTCTTACCACCTAACATCCAGAAACAGTTGCCTTGGATACAGGGTCACAGCTCGGAGCTGACAAACCTGCTGCATCCAGAGCTTTTACCCAAGGAGTGGGAATTCTACGAGTCAGTTCTTCCAACAGGCTCTGTATTTTCAGGCTACAAATGAAAGACTTACTTTAACATCTTTCTCAACCTGCTTTAGTAAAATACCCCCCTTCAGGCTCAAACAGTAAATTTTTTTAGAGCTTTTCTATTGCAAAGCCTTTAATATAAAAGTTTTTGTAAAATCCCATTTGATCTTAGATTACTCTCTGCAAACACCTCCTGAACAGCAGCAGTCTGTCCAGCACTGTGTGAATTAAGACCCCTTAAGTTGGACCCATGCTATTTCTGAATAAATGAGATACAACTGCAGTTTTAGGGCTGGCCTAACCTGTATCACACACCAACCAGCTTGCAGTCTTTGGTGACCCATATACTGGGGCAGATATTCCACAGAGAAAATACTGAGTGACCATGCAAATAAGGACTGATTGCCACAATCTATCCATTCATCCAAGAGCACCATCATAAATGAAATGAAAGAAGTTAAAAACCACCCATGTCTCTCCTGGTACTCTTTGTTTCATTTCCACCTGTGAAACATTAGTTGGGTGTTTGAGACAACTGCTACTCAAAAGAAGCCACGCTGGCAGAACAGAGCCAGATGATTAATTGAACTTTAAGGAGTTTCAAAGAGCTGCAGGTGATTATTACAGGCTTTCTACAGGACCATTTTTTTTCTATTTACACACAACAGTGATCAGGTTATTGGTTATCCAAAGTGCCTGACATAAGTGAACACCTGAATCAATCATCCTTGGCATTTCTCTGCTGGCCATGCTTTAAACCACAGGCTAAAAGGTCATGGTCATTTATTCCTCTTTAATGTATGTTGGTTTTAAAAAGAGTTAATAGAATTGTAAGCTTAAAATAAGACAAGCTTCCCTTAGGAAAATAAGAAAAGAAAATAAAATCAATTTGTACCAATTACATTAAATAATCAAAAGGTGAATTAAGAAATAGTCCAGAGGTGCTGGTGGCTGTGATGTTGGCATTGAACAGAGTACTCATGTGCTATGGAGAGGAAATTTTGTTAGGGAGGTGGTGATGGAGGACCTCTTTTGCTGTAAAGAGGACTAGGCAGCCAGCTGAGGGATAAGAAGCTGCAGGAAAACCTGTCTCATGAAATTCCCCGAAGATGGGAAAGCGAAGAATGACCCCAGACGCAGAGTACTTGCATGCAGAGGTGCTGCCGTGTGGGGACAACGTCAGGGGGGTGAGAAGGGGACCCCACAACCTAAGGAGAGGTTATCATGTGTGACACATCCACAGCAATGTATTTAGGGTGACAGATACACTGGACTGAGAGGAGTAAGGGGGAGGTTTCATCTCAGAAACCTCAACTGTTACCACCTTGATGGCACTAGGGGTGACCCCAAAGAAACCTCAGGGAAGGAGGGAGGAACAACCTCCTCAAAACCTGGCTGCTGGTGAATGTTTAACTTCTCCTCCTCGCAGCAGGTTTCCCAAGTGTGTTTTTCTAAGCTGACACCTTCTTGTCGAGCTTTCCAAAAAAGATCTTCAGAATCTAGTGGGTACTCAGCAGGCACATTTATTAGCTCAAGTGGCCTAACTTTTGTATGTTTGAGTGATACATGGCTCTTAAAAAGATAAACACTGGAGCTTCAGCTCCACCAGCAGCAGCAGTATTCTTGCTCTTTTCACTCAGCAGAAGTAGGCAAGCTTTTTTTCTCAGCTGTACTGCATGTTGCCCTTTCTGTGTACAGCCTGCAAAGGAAGTGCACACCAAAGACCAGCTAAACAAGTCCACCCTTGCTCACTACCACATGCCATTATCCTAAAGACAAACCCCAATAAATACAGAAGGAGGTCTGCTGAAATTGCTTTGGCACGGAACCAAGCCAAGGAAGAAGCAGAAGTGTCTCTAAATCAGTTTTATGGTTCCCTGGCTGAGGCCAGCTGCTCTTTATACACCTTGTACAAGCAAATGGGGACTGACTTGTGCCAAGCCATCAGTGTTGCCAGCTGAGCAGCAGCTCTGGCCCAAGGTCTTGCTAAGCAGTCCCCTCTGAAGAGGGAATACGTGGGGAGAGTCACAGGCTTGAGGCTCAAAATCTTTGGCAAGCTTATGTTCGGTTTTCTGGCTAATCCTGCTGCAAGAGAAGATGGTTTCAAATGAGGGAGAGGGAGCCTCTCCTAAAAGGAGATGGTGGAGAATAAAGCTCAGAGAAGGATGAAAATCAGGAATAGGAATTCAAACTACACAGAGTAAAAAAAGTCAGGACCTACAAACTAGAACTATTTTTGCTGAATTGACTGTAAAGGGGTGGACATGTCCTGTGGTGTGAGAATCTCCCCTCTCTATTAACGTATTGTTCACAAACTTTCTTTCAATATTTAAGGTTTTATTGTTCTTATAAATAAATAAATAAATAAATAAAATATTGTTCTTATAAATAACTAAATAAATAAAAAATCTTCTTGTCTGCTAAACTCTTGGGGCCAGTCTATGGTTTACAGTCATAAAAATCAAGACTAAAATTATTTTCTTCATTTTATGCTGCCTTTCTTGGACAAATCTTCAGCAAGATGCTACTAAATGCCCTCCTGTTTTGTCAGTTATTCTGCCCCTTGGCACAGCCGAAGCGCTCTGATGGCTTGTTAAAACAGAAAGAATATGGGTTAGTGCTGCCTAAATTAGTCCTAAACCACCTCACAAAGGAGGACTTCCAGAAAAAGGAGATGAGAGCAGGATGTTCTTTCTTTTGGTGGCAGCCTGTCTCCTTGTACATTGATCTGGAAACATCTTTTGATGGACATTTCTCATGAGCAGTGTGCTTGGGAAGGTGGTAACTTAATTATCCAATCCCTGGTCATTGTCAAGGATCTATAAATACTGGAGTTAAGAAATAAAGCCATGGGTTTTTGTTTTAGCACCGAAGGTAGTAGTGTGAATCATTTTGTGTCCTCTAGCCACACTGCCTCTGGCTTGTTTTCTTTTCTTCTCCTATCAGCTGGGGAAAACCATTTTGCTATAATCTTCTCTGAAATGGTGGTGGTGTTAATAGTGGAAAAATATATCCCACATGCTCCACAGCTGTTTGGCAAAGTTGTATTACCGTGGAAAAAAAACCTCCTCTTTGCACTACAGGCTTAGGGTCTCCACAGTCTCACATTAACAGCTGACAGGGGGGTATCAAACCCCTGCTCATAATCCAGATTGTGTGCAGAAGCATCTGCCTTGGCTTACTGCACTGCCCAATATCACCTAAAACACAGGGCTTTCTGAAACACCATCAGACAGAGGAAACACCCCTGCACTTGAGTAACTGTTTGAAAAAATACACAGAAAACAAGAGCATGATAACCAAGAAATATATGAAGTGTGTCACAGTAACCATGGATATACATGATGGTGGAGCTCATGGACCCCAAAAATCGCCAGTTCCTTCTTGCTCCTAAGATGTGTCCAGTATCTGAAGTCATACACTGCCACCTCCTCTGACCTTCCTACAGCCTTCATGCAGCTGATGATTCTAGGTGAACATTGTTTCCAAAGCAGATTTCTGTTGCAATCGTAATTTTTTATCCTTTAAAGCTGTTTCCGTTTTATTTCCCTATGTTTTTATGAGAATGGTTTTTTTTTTGTGTAGATAATAGTGTATCTAAGCAACACCCTAACAGAAAAAAGCTTATGCCCTGTCATTTCAAACATTAGCATTCACACATGCTTTTGATGTTTATTGAAACTTGCAGTTGTATTTCAGATGTCTGTGTACATCCAAGGTTGAGCCATTTTTTTTTTCTGATCTCCAAGTGAAAAATGGCATCCAAATTTTGCTATATTCTTGAGCTATTGTTGGCTTCTAAAGAATACTTGCACATCTACTGTCACTTCAGTGCCAGTACATTTCACAGTATCTCTCCTCTCAGGCTAAGAAACAGCATTATCTAAATTTCACAAGTGATCTTGGGTCTATGTCATACTGCCCTGCATAAGAAGTCTGATAAGAGAAGATGTCACTTGTGGGCTTTCTGAGCCTTACAGATGGGAAAGGCTGTTCAATGGGTATGCTGTTGGCTTCTCTTTTGACTGGATTAAACAACAGACTTGTGGCATATTTTTCTTCTGCCACTGGTGTTTGTGTAGGTAGGTGTTCAGAGAACATCTGTTTCTTGAGAGTTGCCTCAGCTATTCTGCTTTCCAAAGAGTTTGCCTATAAAGATGTATCCAAGGGATAAAAAGACCCTAGATGTGAAAACATCCTTTCCACTATTAGGCTTATTTATATTTTTTTTTATTTCAAATCTTTGTACAAACTTCTACAATTACAATTTAATGAAAAAAAAAAACCCTGATAAACCTCCCGGGGGTTTAAATACACCTTCATGGAGCCCTTATTTTAAGAAGTTTCAGCTGAAAGCAAAGAAGCAAATTCTCAAGTACCTTTTTGCTCAGGCAGCTCTTCCAATTCATTCATGAAGGCAAAAAGACCTGATTTTAAGTTACTGTAAGAGAAATAGAGGGTGGCAGGACTGCTGACTAACCAGTTATTTCCCATTTTCTACTTCTTCATTTAACCCTTCCTTAGTATGCATTTCCCTTGACTATTTTTAAATTTAATGATGCTGAACAACTCCACCACATTACCAAGACAGTTTTGAGCTTCTGATTTTATCTGAGATTTTCCTGGTCCTCGTAGCTCTGCCAGAAGCAGGTTTTGTAAATGAACAAATCAAAATATCAAACAGCTTGTTTCTGCCTCTCTCATGAAAATCACAACTTGCATTTAAGACCTTTACACTGCTGTCACTCCCTCCTATTTCCATTGGGCTTAAAGCAGACCTGACTGCATGCACACTGAGCATGAGTGACACTGTGTTTTTTGTTTGACCTCAGGAGAGAAATATATTGCTTGCACAATGCTCAGGCTGAGCAACAAGATGACAGAATATCTAATGATGAATAACCAAAGGCATTTTATCTGGCTTTAACTGAAATTTACTGAATTAGTTTCTCACTCAGCTCTCACACAGGCAAATTTCTTCTAGCTGCAGTTTCTGTCATGATTAAATTTGCCTGTGTAAGACTTGAGAAAGATTGGGAAACATTTGGCCAATAATTTCTAAAGGGGAAGAAGCTGCAGTGGGACAAGCTCAGAAAGGGTAAAATCCAGTGAGGACTTGCTGCAGGGCTACAGCTGTTATCAAGGTATTACTGCTCCTTCCGTGCACTTACTGTGGATTTTTAAACACGAGCAATAGCAGTGCCTCACCCACAAGAAGTAATCCCGTATGTTAACACCAAACCATTCAATTTCTTATCTTATTCCACTCCAAAGCTTTAATTACTTGTAAAGGCTGCTAATGCTTTGCCTTGTCTAACGCAATTAGATTTAATTTTCATTCCACTTATTTGATTCAAGAAAGATTGCACTGAAACCCTCCCATGTCTAGGTGTACCAGCCAGTGCCATCAACAGACCCACTGAGCTGAGGGGGATGTATTTTACACAGTAATAAAAAGTGCATTTGTTTTATAAACCTGGTGTGCCAATAAAGTACTTAAGGTAGGATTTCCTAAAGCTCTGCAGACTGGTCTCTTATTGACTTCAGCAGAAGCAGGCTATTGAGGAGGTATTTTATTTGTCTGGATTGCTATGCAATTGCCCCTTGGATTATAATTCTGTTTGTTGCTAGAATGTTTCTATTCACCAAAGGTTTTTATTATCATCACTTCAAACATTTATTGTGCTCAGGAGGACTTTCACATTTCAAATGTTCACCAGCATGAACCCTAATTTTTGTCCTTAAATGTCTTTTCCCAAAATGCCCTTGGTGCTGACACACTACAAAAACTAGCTCTTTTGATATAGGTAAGCAAGGCTTATTCAGATCATGGCCAAAGGTTATGTTTTCAATAATATCAAGCTGTTTCAGTCTAAAAATTGCATATGAAATCTTCCAAGCTGTTTTTCTATTGCTCTAACCCTGATACTACTATGGCAAGAGGCAAAATTCTCTTTGACTTAACAGCTTCCAAGATAATGTATTCCTGCATTCATTAAAATAAAGAAATGACATTGTGTTTTCCAGCACACCGCCAGCAGTAGGTAATGTTACATGAAGTTAATTGCCAACAGAACAACCCTGTAATTGTTTTCCTCTCCTCTCCACAATGAAGAGCAATTAAAGCTTGCATAAAAACAAGACCATGTGCTGGCAAAGATGACCCCGTGGTACAAGTGAGAAAAAATGATGGTGTGCACATGATCTGTGTTAAACTGAAGACAATCAGAGAAGGATGAAAACCTGAGAAAGAAACGAGGGTCAATAGCAGGATTAACACTATGGAAGGGGGATGAGTGTGATGAGGAACAGAGCGAAACTGTAAAGCTTTACTTCTGACCTCTTTGGTAGTTCTTAACATGAAAGACTGCAAAGACATCAAACAAATATTTGAGAGTTAATCAAGCAAACAAATCTCCAGTGGAGAAGGACACACTAATCGGAGGAAGGCAGAAGAAGCTGTAGAAGTTCAGGCTGGGAAAGATGAGCAGCAGCAGTAGGTAAGCCCTATGAGAAGGAAAGGGGGCACATTCCCAGGAGAACAAAGTGGGGGGAAGACTCCAGGGACTGGCAGGGCTCACTGGGAGCACAGGCCATAGAGTTTCAAGCAGGATTTGGCTTTATGAGCCTGCAGCAAACAGGGCAGCTGATAAACTCGGTAATTATGGTTCCTCACAGCTATCACAGGCACGATAACTGGTTTTCAGGGAGGTTGCCTGGTAATAGAGAGGGACTGTCTGGAGCCACATGTGGATGGAGAGCTGTCAAAGGGGTGCTTTGGCATACCAGTGTCTGGTTTGCAATGACATCTACAAGCTCTTGTAAATGCATAGGGAGCTAAAATAGAGGTATTTCCAGGACTACCACTGAAGACCAAATGGAATGTTCTGCTGAGCAGGAAGCACATGCTCAGTAAGCAGACACTGATCTTTCAATGACCCGAGCTAGAGGCACCCTGAAGGCTGCAAAAATGGAGAACCCATAATTGCAAACTCCAGCTGATCTGTGTTTTGAACCTGAACCAGCACCTCGTAAGTCAGTATAAAATCTCCCCTAACTGCTGAGATGCTGGACCGTATCTCATGTAAGGCTGGGCAAAACTTGGTTTTTGGATGACTGCTCTACGAAGCTGTGGTGCTTGACATTGCATTTGGAGACCCCACACTTCAGTGCTCCAGCTGAGCACCTCAAACTCCACAGCCAGGGCAAAAAGAAGTTCAATTTGTTTGTCCTTGACTTCTCCATCAGTTACTGATGCTAATGCTTTAACATTTAGTGCTAACATTTAGCTAGGGTTTAATATTAAAGAAACATCTGAAATGCTTAGATTAACTAATCTGAACTGTTCTGTAGAGATCATTCAGTTTGGATGACCAAACCACAGTGAAAGCTTAATTTTCTGGCTGGCATAACCCTACAGTGGCAGGCAAACTCCAAGAAGCACTGAGATTACAATAATATTTTTCACAATTTTTTTTTTTTAGTTTTAGGAAGGGTTTTATTTCAAGTATTTGGGTTCCTCCCTCCTGCCTTCTAGAATAAAATCCCAACAAATTTAGGATCAAAATGACTTAATTGTGACCCTTCAGTGGGGACTCCTCAAACCACCTGTGTAATTATGTGGATGTATTCCAAGTAAAGCTTTGCGTTGTTGGTCTCAACTACAAGAAAACAAGCTGTGATTTAGATTACTTTTCTGCTCTGAGCTCCCAACCTGTGCCCACACACTTAAGGAAATTCCCAGAAGTGGCACCCAAAGAAGTTAATATTCCCATGCAGCAATGGCAAGCAGAAAACATTGCTATGGTGGCAATTCTTCACCTGAGGAAAATCAGTGTAGGATCACAACTCTCCACAGAAATATGCTGACCATTGACCTGCTGCCCTCTGAGCCTCTTGCTCTCTGTTCTTTATTGAGATTACAGGAGTGAGAAAGTAACTCAGTCAGAAGTCAGAAATCCACCGGCATTGATCAAAACATGACACGCACCAAAGGGATCAGATCTGCCTGAAACACACTCTCATTCTGCCTGCAGACTGTGTATCAGATGGCAAAGACAAATAACCTGACGCTGCAGCTTAATAACACTGCTGGCTCTTCCAGCTGCTTTCTCATTCGGTTTTGTTTGATTATTTCTTAACTTTAAGAAGGTCAGCTCTGGAGGCAACTCCCCCTTAATCTGAAACCTCTGCAAAAGCTGCCTGTACAAGCCCCAGAGACCTGCAGAGCCCCGAGGAGGTAACCCTGCTGCTTATCAGGTGCACATTCTGGTTTGGCTTTTGGTTGGGCTGGCCCTACAGACAGTGAGGCTGCATTCAGGGACAGCAGAGAGCCAGAACCTCCTGTGGCTGCAGCTCCGATTCTGGAATACAACAGTGAAGAAGATGGGACAAATATATTTACCCCTTAACCCTTCAGACCATCTTGGTTATTTGTGGGATCTCTTGCCAAATTATCCTCTGTAGTGCCTGCTCTCACAGGCTCACCCCCTGGCTCCTGGCAGCGCAGTCCAACACCTGACCCGTGCTTGCTGAGCTGTCCAAATGTGCTTTGCACATCACTTCCATTAAATTAACACCTGCAGAACATCTGGACTGACAGATATTCTCACAAGACTATGATCTTGAGCCAGAGGATATTTTAGAAGTGAGTTGTTACAGTGCTTAGGTTGTGGAGCACAAGCAGAAATGCCAGACTGTCTGTGCCAGTCCCTGCAGAGGACCCAGAGAGAAGGTCTAACCCAGCTGACATCCTAAGCAAGGAGAGGAGAACAGCTGCCAAACCAGTGAGATGGCAGAAAACACAGAATGCTGTGTCTCTTAAGAGCAGAGCATGCCCCATCCTTTTGGATGGAGTTGTCAGCCCACAGGAATATTGAGTCATTTAACAGGATACCTCAGGGATAAGGCAAGTATGAACAGTCCTGCTCTCTCCCACACACTGTGCCCCCAACACCTGTAACCTCTGCACAGCTGTACAGAGAGAAGATCCCTGCATCTTTTCTTCCCAGGGGCGCTTCTCAAGCATACATAACCTAGACATGTTCCATCCCAAAACCATCTGCCCACAGTAAAGGTGCTACAAAAAAATATTATATCAAAAAATCACTTTTATATATCAGAGTACTTCACTTGACCTCTTTTTCTAATGTTTGGTATGCATTTCTATAAATCAATTCTATCACTTGATTTTTGGAACATGTACTTACACACAAGAAGCTTAGAATCCAATTTTAATGTGTCTATGTTTCAAAATGTTTTACTATACAGACACCTATGGTTTATTCTAACACTTAAGAGAAGAAAAAAATCTGGGTGCAAAGTCCAGACTCATGGACTGAGTCAGAAATCCAGATCTTCTGGCATTCCAGATTTGCCTGGTATGCTAGGCAGAGTAAGTCTCTGCTACCAGAATATGGGGAAAGGTAGGACTGATTATGGCTGCATCTGTAACATTTTGCCAGGAAGAAACCTGGTCTGAGTTATATTTTTGCTTTCAGACTTTAACAAAGTACAGTAGGTGGTTCGCATTTGGGGAGGGGGGCAGGGAGGAAAAAACCCAACTGAAAACCAAAGTCTACAGTCAGACCAAACAATCAATAATAAATTCTACCTAGCTGCTCCTTAAAGAAATAATATTAATAATAACAATAACAATAACAATAACAATAATAATAATAATAATAATAGCCTAGAAACCTAGTACCTTTTGGAGAGCAAAATAATGACTGAATAGATGGCGTAGCCTGACAGCAAGCAATCAGAAATTAGACGGAAGGATCTTCTTACATAGCTCTGAAAATCCAGATGTGTCTAAGGAAAACAGACTCAACATTTCATTATTCAAGCACAAACAATACAGTAATAAAAAACTGAATGCCCAGAGTGCTATCAAGAGGGTGTTTTATGGACTATAAGCCACCCACTTTGTGGGCTATTCAGGAAAATGCTTTAAAATTAGAATTTCAACTCTCACTTCTTAAAGACCCCATTAACATGTTTCTCACACAGACTGTTTTATTGTCTCTCAGGAATTAGGAAAGTGCAGAACTGCAGCCAAGGAGGCACCTGAAGGAGGGGAGCTGCTTGACTCTGCAAAAAGCCAGCTCAAGGAGTGTGGACAGAACAGGTCTCTCCCAGTCCAGCCATTCCTAACACTTGTGGCTCACAGAAGGATGAAGAACTGGAGTCTTTCTCAGCTCAGCTTACACAAGCTCCAGGAGAACTTGCAGCCCTGTCCCTGGATGACTGTATTTCAATGCCTACATGTGAAAGATTTAGTAGTTTTATTAAAACTGTCGAGAACAGAGCGAGGGCTTGAAAAGACATAGCAAGATTCCAGTGAGTTGGAGTCCTCTACAGATGAGAAGCTGAGTAACCTGTGGGTGATTTACCCTTGAGAGACATTGAGTATACTTGCTGCTTGTTAGGCAGTGAGTAAGGAAGCTTTCCACCATCTCTCTAGGGTAGTTGTGTGTTTAGCTGGAGAAACAAAGTTGCTTTGACACACCTAACTGATGAAGCTGTTGAGGAAGGCAAGCTGTTTTGACTCTGCATGTCTGGTAGTTCTTGGCAAGGTTGGGTAAAAACAGCATTCTTGTCAATTAAGCATGACACAAAAGTAAATCAAATTGCCCAGAGCCAGGATAACGTGGTGTGTGAGCTGCTGGTGGAATCAAGGTAGTCCAGGTGGGTAGGTGCACACACAAGCTGGCTGGAAGGGTCAAAAATGGACCTTGAAAGAATGGCTTTGGAACTGCTCACCCAGGTGACGTCTTGCTGCCCTGCCATTTGGTTTTTCCTGTGCTGGGACCACGAGCCAGACAGCTTTGTGCACCTTTGACTAAGAGCACAGCATCATATTTTAGTGGGACAACTAGTGAATTCATTGGATTTTTTTGCTTTTGCTGAAGAGGAACTGCCAAAAATAACTGAATACAACTGCGTGGTGGAAGAAACCCTGCTGCAGCTGAGCTCACCACGGGCTTTGCCTCTACGAGCTGCAGCAGCCTGAGGAGGCACACGAAGAGAAGCGCTGAGGTGGGGGCAGCAGCTCCTCTTCATGTGCAGGAGCTGTACGTGTAGCTGGTGAAAGCCATGCCCGATGGAGCGCAGCAGCCTCGGGATGCCGGCACTCCTGCAAGGCTGTGCAGATGGGCACCCCCAGCACAGCAGCTCTGCCACGGCCTTCACTGTGCCCACAGGCACGTCTCAGCCTCACTTCCAGCCACCTTCTGCTGCATCTCCTCACTCAGAGCAAAGCTTTGCTCTACGGCTCTCTGAACTCACACCCAGTGCTGTAAGAAATCCAGGAGTAAGCACTGGCAGGTAGCATTCCAAGAGAAGGTACGACTTGGGGAACACTTGTCAGAATCCAGCCTTTGCTGCACATGAAAAAAAAACAGTCTTCAGCCTCCACCTCGCATGTGAGATGTGACATGACTTACTCTAAGGAGAGAGCACCGCCCTCGGTTGGTGCTACAGGAACATGAGAAACACAACTCTTGGTTCTGCCATTTACACCTGTCAGGACCAGGCAGAACTCCCTGCTGAGTCCTGCACTCCCTCTGCCCAGCTATGGCAGACTACAGATGGGGCAATGAGGTGGAGATGGAAACAAATGCAAAGTAAGAGGAAACATTTTGCATTTCAATAACCTCAGAGAAGCCAGAGCTGGCAGGGAAGCAGCGTGTTTACACATCACCCGAAGATTTCTGTTTCCCACGGCAGGTGTAATGAAAGGATGGGTTTGTTAAAACATTGGCTTTTTTTGTTAATTCATTCTGATCAGTCAAAAAGATCTCTTTTAAATAAATGTTCCTGTGATGAAGAAATCTTAATCCTTCATTAAAACAGTGTTTTAATGACCGGGCTACCAAATGTAATTGCAAAGCAGAAGTTAACTGGATTTTTCAATGCAAAAAGTAACAATACCTGACAACACTGCTGTACTCACATCACGACTCCATTATACGGATTAGTCATTATTGATAAAACATTTTCCATACCTAATGAATGTAAATGCAACAATGAGCTGCGAGTTTCTTCTTTTACAACAAAGGGAAAACACGACATTTTTGCTCAGAAGACACCTGGCTTCCAACAAAACTTAAGAACTGGCAGAGTTAAGACCACTAAGATCTCGTGCTCAGGGACAGAGTTTCTCAGGCAATAGTCCAAGAGTAGTAGATAGCCACAGAGTTAAAAGGAAAAAATCCTCCCACCAAAACTCATCATTTGCTTTACAAAGTGCCGCTCTTCCTAAACACCTATGGGACACGAACAACTGCAGCGATACACTGAGAACATTGTATCGTGCTAACAGCTGGAAGACACGACATCGTGTGCCTCCCGTCTTTAAACACACACACATCCTAACTTTGCCAGCGCTTAAAGCCGGTACCAAGTTGAGCGGCCAGGCTCGGCGAAAGCCTGCCTCTCGCTCAGCATCCCCATCAGCCCGCTGCTGCCGGCCCCCGCGCCGCCTCTCCCGGTACATTCGAGCCGCTCGCCCGGCGGGCGCATCCCGGGGCAGGCAGCGCTAGGCGGGCAGCGGCCAGCCCCGNCCCTGCCCGGCCCTGCCCTGCCCGGCCCTGCCCGGCCCTGCCCGCCGCTCCCAGCGCCGCACCGGCCGGGCGGGGGGAACGCGGAGAACGCGCTGCTCCCTCGCCACGTGTGGGATGCGCCTTGGCCCCTGCCGGGCTGCTTCGGCTTCCGAACCTCTCCTCTACGCCCGGTGCCAACAGGGTGTTTTTGAGGGAGTTGGTGGTGGTCGGTGGAGTGCTAATTACTTAATTTCAGCCATTTCTGGATGCATGAATGGTTGTTTCTGATCTGATTCCACAGAGGTAGACCCAAGAAAATGATACATTTTGGGTTCGGTGCCAAATGCCCATTTAATCTTAGCCAGTGCCTGAAAGGTGATTTTTCTTCCCCCCCTAAGATGTTGGATTCTGTCTTCGCTGTTTTCCTTGGAACAAACACTGTAGCCTTATCTGTTATGCTGCAGTAAGAACTGCAGTCCTTTCCTGGGAGACTTGAAGTAAATAATTACATTCGTATTTTTTAAATAAAATGAGAATTCTCACTGATAAAGTATTGCGGAGAGGATGGGAGTGATGCCAGTCCTGCAAACATATGTGTAGGGGTTGATAACACGTGTAGGAAAGATCTGGGCTTGGAGGAGGAAATGCTCCCCACAATTTACAGTTGCCAGTGTCAGTCTCACTGGGATGGGAGCTTGTGCCCTGGTTTATGGGTTTTTTTAGCCTAGCTTCTATTTTTTCTTTTTTTTTTTTTTTTTTTTTTTTTTTTTTTTTTGGTCTACAGGAAAATATTTCCTGCCTCTTGGTAGCTACATGATGTCTTTTAGCAAAGGGCTATTTGCCATCACTAGAACTTCTCCATAGCTTCACACATTTCTTTCTTATTTTGGATCTGAGAAATTTTGCTTTGCCATGAGAATTCACATCATTGGCAGTTATCTCTTGGCCACATCCATAGCAGAAGAACTTCCTTTCTAACAGGCTGTTCATACTTGTCAGGTGAAGAAAATGGCTTGGGTTTACACCTATGCTTCCTAGCAACAGGCCACACATAAAATGCAATTAATTAGTTTACAAAGTACTCTAATCAAAGGATCATGTTTTGATAGCCACTAACATGCCTCAACTTTGGGGTTTTGCTGTTATTGCTTTTGAGCCAAAGCATTTTGTTCAGCAGAGGTGAAAGGAAAGTGTCAAGAAGTATCAAAGAAGATTTCTAATCTCCTGTTGTGCTCAAGGAGACCAGTACCACTTGCAACCCTTAAGAAAAAAAGTGTCTCCTATTTCAAAGTGTCCCATTATAAATTTATAATGTGTCGCATTATAAATACTAAAACTGAATAAAAATAATAAAAAATTGAAACAAATAAATCACAAACCCAATAGCTGTGGAAAACAATAGCAGATCTCAAGGACACAAGAAGCAGAAAAACATAGGGAAAGTATATCAGACCAAATCAAAAGACCATTGAAATCAGTGGAAAGCCTCCCATGGATGGTCAAGGGCTTAACAGATCAGAAATGGGCCATTTAGTGCCAATGACTATAGTTAGAAATAACTATATTTCTACTATATTTCTATATTTCCACTGTGGTAATCCAGGGATGATTACATGCAATCCACTGTGTCATTTGATGTAAAACTGAGCTAATTTACCTGAGTTTGCAGGAATTTTGTTGCTGCAGATGGGTATCATGGTTTAGATTCCTGGTGCTGTTGTGTTTGCAGAGGAAGTAAGACTGGGGATTTTTTTTGTTGTTGTTGTTTGGTTGTTTTTGTTGCTGTTTTTTTACTTTCCTATTGGGAACATTAAAAAATGAGGGTTTGGTTCTCTGGAGTTCTCAGCAATTTCACTGACTGTGAGAGGCCCCTCATGTTCTTGGTAGGTTAGCAAGGTTTGTGTAAGTCATACCTCACCATGCCACGCATTTTCCTGTCTTGGGGGATGGCTGGCTCCTAGATGGGGAGTGAAAAGTTGGCCATTTCCTTTCTTTCCAAGCAGTAGAAGCTGGCTGGCTCTGGAGCCTGCCGTGGCCTCTCTGGAGATGTCCTGCCTGGGAAAGGATGATGCTGGTGGGATGCTGATTAGCTGGAGGAATCACATCATGGATATGAAAGCCTACCAGTAACTTTCCATGAAAAAAAAAGCTCAGCTGAAGCAGCAAGGGACGTGGTTTAGCTGCTTCAGCATGGACAAGATTGTATTTCCAGCATCACCGAATCATGGTTTCTAAGAATTCGAGCTGTTGACAGATTTTCAAAATGTTTTGACAACTCATTTCACTAAGATTTTTTTGCATGGAGTCTTGAAAATTTGTCATAGTTTTGCAGAAATACTTCAAGTTTTTTTGGTTATAAAGCTAGGGGGAAAAAGTTGGGGTTTTTTCATTAAAGTCCCACTGACAATGTTTGGTCCTTTCCAAAGTCACTGGAAAAACTCCATTAGCCAGATAAAAAGTCCTCCAAAGCTGTGGCTTAAAGGAAGGTGATGGTTTTGGTTGCTGTGATCCAGATATGAGAGTCTGAGGAAACATCCTCAAGCTGCTGCTGCCCCCTGCTTGGGTAACACTCCTAAAGGCTGTTATATGGTTAAATGAAGGATGCTTTTCTAAACTTTCTTGAATAATTGAATGAAATCTTGAGGGATTTGGTGAAAAAAAATCAATGTCTTTAAAACTGTTTTTCTAGAATTTTTTTAAAAGCTGATGGTCAACTGTAAATCAGGCTTGATGCTAAAATTAGATCCCTGAGCTGTGGGAGTACTGTAGGCATAGCACCAGCCATTTGGTTTGTCAGGAGGTCAGTGTTTGTGAAAGCAATTATTTCAATAACAAAAATGTGGTGTTTGTATTACTAGAGTGTCTGTTTAAAGTGAAGCTCGTGCAAAGAAATGAGATGGGCTCATTAAATGTTTAATTAAACCATTGTCTGCAAATAGGTTGTACTGCTAAACATCGCATCTCTTTATTAAAGAATAAAGTTTAAAATGGTACTTTAAACATGAAAAAGACCAGTTACTGTTATTCCTTTTAAGGGAACAGTTGGTTTTTTGTTGTTTTTGTTTTCCTGTGGGTAAAGTCTTCTGAATTCTCAGCCATGGTTTGACTGTGTGACTCACAAGCAAATTGGCAAGACCACTTTTTTCTACTTCAGGGATACCAAGACCTCCATATTTGTACTCTTGGTTCCAGTACAAGCTTCACTCATACACATCCCCACTGATTCTGTAGCAAATATTTGCCAAGAAAAAATATCAAGTACATAATTCAGGACCTTTTTACCACTACATTGGCATGGAAATGTCTCAAGCAGTTATTTGGAAGCATCTCAAGCAATGTGAAGGTAAACATGCCATACAGTCCCTGACCTGAAATGTACAGCTTGTTTGCAGTAGCTGGACATATTTTCTACCTCAACAGTAACCAAAGGCAAATAGATTTGTAACTGCTCCTGCAGCTGGACTTAATTTGCAGGTGGTTTTGTGTTGCTCTCCATACAGCCCAAGATGGGCTGTATAAATTAGTTTTTATCTGTAACATGTACCAAGGAAATTATTTTCCAGTGAGTGGCCTTATGGAGCTTGACAAGCTGCACAGGCAGTGAGATGGTGCTGTTCTTCACTTGTACCTCCTACTGCACTTCAGGGGACAGTCTCTTTATTATTACCTTGTAATGAAAAGAAATGGATGAGGTAATTGGTAGTCTATGCAATCAGTGCCTTGGTAGCATTGTGAGCAAGGGTTTCAGTCACAATGCATAACAGAAAGGAATATGCCCAATTTTTGAGTTAGAAATCTGGATACTTCAGGATAGAGGGCTCTTCGCAGTACCTGACTTCGTGTGATGACAGATTGAGGCAGTGAAAAGTATACTAACTACAAAGTATTTGGGGATGAGTGTGTGTTTCCATGGAACCTCAGATGTTACCAGTGTCTCCTCATCCTCCCCAGGCCCTTTTTAGGTTTTGAAGCAGAAAACCAGTCCCGTGACCCAAATCACCTTTTGTGTTCTCATGTCTTCTCTCTGTATCAGGGTGAACTTTTGGGGAGGGGAGAGAGAAAACAGGCAGGCTTACTTGAAGCCATGAGTTGCCTGTTGCAGACAATTTGGTTGACAACTGAGACATCTTGCATGTTGATTTTGGAGGTGGTCCATGTAGAGTCTTGGCATGAAACTGTTTCCAGGTAGCTGGGCTCTGTAAGCCCCCAGTGCTCTGCCAGTAGCACTCTGGCTTTCATGGGAGCAGAGCTGAAGAAGCTGATGAGATGAACTTGAGAATCCTCTGGGAACCATTTCTTGTGCTTCCAAACTCAAAATCAAGTCAGGGTGGGATGTAGGAGTCAGCCAGTGCAGGTTTTGGGTTGCTAGGTCAAACTGCTGGGGGATACTGAGCTGTAGAGAAACACTATTGTTAACCAAAAACATGGTTTGACAAGGAGAATATTTCCACAGGTTTGAGAGAAACAGGAAACAATCACTGTATAAATCAGAGATTCCTTCATTCTTCCTGCTAATTTATGAATACGCAATGGCCTTTTGTTTCTATTTTTCCTGAGGCTCAGTGATCTAACTACCACTTTCTCACTTTCACTGCTCTCACTGAGAGAGAGAATGATCTAATTACTGCTGCCAATTACATTCAATTTAAATCTGATGAATAGCCGATTTCAGAAGGCCTGATTCTGCCTAGTGCTCCGAGCATCCTGAGCACGTTAATGTGTTCTCACTTGCCTGTGCTGCTGATGGAAGCCACAGGCACCCTGCTCTTGTGAGGGTAGTTCTGTGTTCACATGACTTACTTTCCTCATAATTTTTGGTATGAAATTTCACATTTTGTGGGAAAACCTTCCACTCTGATGGCTTATGCTCTTCCTGCATTAGTTTTGCTAATTTGTTTTCTATTATTGCTTTGCACTGGGAAATTTCAGTCAGTGGCTTAGCATGCAAGGGATTTTTAATACATTTTAATAATGGAAAGCTACTATTCTACTACTCAGGAAGATACAGTAATATTTCTGAGGCCCTGCAAAGGATAATTTCTGAATGCACAACCCATTGTTGAATTCTTGTAGACCATTAGGCAACAAACCAGTTACCAGATTTTTTTGAATCTCACCCATTTTTTTTGAACCTCAGCCTAACCAGTACCTGGTCTTTCAGGAGAGGCCAGCATCCTTCAGCTCTCCAAGTGAACAGCTCAGTTTTTGAAAGGACTGAAAGGCCAGTTGGACAGTTCTGTAGACTGCCATTTCTCTTGACAAGAATTTGGAGGGAAGGAGAAGAGTTCGTTGTAAATCTCTCTGTTAAGGTTAGAGACGTGGTCCCTGTATTCTGCAGTTGAACTTCCTGGTGCAGAGGGGAGGGATGGACAGACAGATGCATGGATGGATGGGTGCAGAAACCTGCAGAATGGGATTGGTGCAGCTCCTGAGAAATCTGCATCCTCCAAGTCCATGCTTTCCTGTGTACCGATGAGCTGCAGGGAGCTTGCCAGGAAGGGAAGTAATTTTAGAGTGTGATTTGGAAAATGATTCAGTTTAAAAATTGCTATTTTTGAAGGGCTACTTTCAGCTGGGATCCAGTCTCCAGCCTGTTCCCAGAAGCACTTGCCTTGCTGCAGCAGTGCGTGGTGAAAAGTGGAGGAGGAATGTCTGTCTGGGAGCCGGCAGCCCTGAATCTCGTGATGCCACTGAGGAAACAATTCATGGGCATGACATTTCTCATCCCTTCCTGCATTTGACAGGTGAGTGTTTAACCCAGCTAGGCTGGTGAACATGGCAAAGGTCTCTCTGCCCACCTTCCCTCCATGCTCAAAGGAAAACACAGAATTGTGGGTCTGGAAATGGGGCTGCTGGGCACACGAAGTTTCAAGACAGGAAAGCTGACTTTATCATGTTGACATAAAAGCCAAGGACAGCATGAGGAATTTATGAATCAAAGTTGTGAAATTTTCATGCCATTTGAAGGCATATTGAATGTATTTGACAGAACTTGTGGCTGCAGCTCATGCGAATCTCTCCAGCCAGTGGCACCGAAATGAAACCAGCTAAGCTGACACTCACTCCATCAGGCTGAGGCTTTACAGGAGCTCAGGACAAGGCAGTATTTGATCACAGCACTGAAGAAAACATTGGCAAACCTTTTGAGCTGTTAGATTTTCACCTGTCGGGGTGAGAAGTTTCAGAGAGCAATTATGTGCTGATTACACCTGTCAGTTACTACCAAACAGGTTAAAATGTCCTTTCTGCCCCCGATCTGTCCCTCTTGTTTCTCTCAGGTAGGTGCTGGCTGATGTTCCTCTAAGGTCATTTACCCTGGTAAGCTTGTCATAAACAGGTTCCAATTGTGTCTAAGCAACTTCACACGACTTGGTTTGTTCTCAAGGATGTGTGGAGTGGAAGTGTATGGATGAAGACTTTGCTTTGGTTCCTCTGCAGGTATCAGGCACAGGCAAGGAAAGCAACATATCATCTTTGGAACAAATTCTGAGCTCATGCTAGGGAGCAGAAGGTGAAGAGAACGTCATGGTGAGGAGGGCTCCCTTTTACAGCTGTCCATTCTTGCTTCAAGTGCAGTAAGCAAATGGGGAAATGTATCAAGCTTTAAAAAAAAAGTAAAATTCCAATTTGCTATGCAGAGGGTTTTAAAGGACCTTTTCAGAATAAGATTTTCTGTTATTTATGGCCACATAAGCAATGTTTCATATGTAATACCAAAACATTATTTGTGCATCTTATGAAAGAAGGACAATTGCTGTGCCACTGAGCATGCAAAAATGTGCCAGGAAAAACATTCAGGACCAGAGGAATTTTCATCTCTGGTCTTCTTAGCCTGGAAATGAACTTCAGCCTCCCATTTTCCTATTTTTAGACATGGCTGCTGCCCATATTCACCTGGTCACTAGAGGAAAATGAAATGAAGCTGTTTGGCAGTATTTTGCAGTCATTTCACGAAGGAGCACTCAAAGTGATGCAAAGTGATTAAACTTGTTACAGTGGCTTTAATGCATTGTAGGTGTAGTGTGGCCAGTGCTCTCACTTTGGCTTTAGAGCACTGGGGTATTGATTTAGCATTTAACAAGTACTTTCCTAGTGCAAATGCATCAGTAGAAACATAAAAAATAAAAATGCACAATGAAGAACATATGATATTGAAACCAAACTACATGGCGTGCTTCAGGTCAGAAATTGCTTGGGTGAGGTGAACACAAAGGAACAGTGGGATGGACAGGTGGTGAGGGTGGACACTTCAGAAGTGGAGTAAATAGTGGTAACTCTGGGGGCACTCTGTGCCTGAGAGATCACCTCTGTAACTCTGCATCTGGGAGAAGTGCAGGAGGTAGGGATGGAGAATAGAAAGAAGCACAGTCTTTAAAAGCTGTCTGGAAGCTCAGGCTGAGAGTCCTCTCCAAAGATTTCCTTTAGGCTGCACAGCCCCTTTGCTGGCCCTTCAGGTGTGTTGACTTGGAGTTAAGCACGATTTAGTGCAGAGGTTGGAAAGTTTTCAAGCAGCACTTGCCAAAGTGTATTTTAATGTTTTTAGTCAGAAGTTCAGTGGGCTAACAGAGGTTTGGGAGGTACGGGATTTGTCCCGCATGGAAACGAGCTGCTTCTGGGCGGCCGAGTGCTGTGTCCTGCTGGCCTGCAGGGGCTGCTGGCTTCCCTGGGACTCTTGGCTGTGTCCCAGGATGGAGCATTTCCCATTTCACAGGGACTCTGTGTCAGGTCCAGCCCATGTGCCATCCACAGCTCCTGACTCCTGGCCTGACATCCAGGCCATCTGAGTCAGGCTTAGAAAACGTGGATTTCTCACCAGTTGTAAACTGATATGTTGCATCACCTTGATCTAATAATTTCTCTTCCAGTTGCCACACTTACCCTTCTGACCTTGGTCCTGTTTCTCTCCCTAGGTTTGAGAAATATTCCAGAACAGAATGGCTTTTGTTTTGACGTGTTATCATGGCTCCATTGGAGATGTGAAGAAATCATGGCAAGCTTCCCACCATCCATGAAGGAAATAAAAGAGAATCCTGCTGGGGAGAGAACCATGGTACTGGGCAGGCCTTGGTGTGCTGATAATGATATAAGGGGGAAATTCTGTGGAAAAAAATGTGTTCTAGCAAGCAGGCTTCATTTCTGTCCAAATGCCAGTGTGGCATATTATTTTCTAATGAAGTGAAATATATTCATGCTCTCTGAAGTTGACTGTGTTGATTTAATTTGTGTTTTATGATCAAGATTCTAGATTTCATATCTTTTATGTTCTATAAGTAGTGAGCAGGGATTTAGCTGCATAAGACACATTAATATCAATACAACATAACACCCCAGGCGCTTCTTTAAAGACTATTATATACATAACAACATGGAATTTCACCTCTATATTTCTCTCATTCTCTGCAGGGAAAAACAGTGATAGCTAATCTGAAGGCAAGCACACATTTTATTATTGCTCTCAAAGCAGTAAGCATTTTTAGCACTCTGAATTTTTCCTGCTGACAAACAACAGGCAGTGTATAACACAGAAATCAAATAGCTCCTTTTTTGTGGGCTGGGCTGGGGAAAGCAGCAGAACAATCTCAGGCAAGAAATCGCAGATTATTATTTATTTTACATGATTTCAGTATGCTGCTTTCAGAGTTTTTTTTGCTTTAGAGAGCTGGTATGCACTAAGTGAGGGAGATCCTTCTCCAGTATGAAGTATTAGAAAAGGAATGTTCACTTTTCTGGAGGAAATTTCCTGTGTCTGCATCCTTCCTCATGAGTGAAAACAGTCCAAATACTGTTGGGAATGGAAATAGGGAGGAAAAAAGACATGTTTTCCATGGAAAATATGTTAATTTTATTTCTGCTTTGTCCTTGCAAAGCATGTTTCTGACTTTTATCCTGACCACTAAATTTGTCTCTCTGTACTAAAAGACAATTGTCATATTTTAGGCAGTTGTTCATCTAGAAAAATTGAACAATCTGGGGATGATCCTAGATGACTTTGAGTATTTTCCAGCAGAAGGAAGGACCTCTCTGCATAGCCTGAGGACTTGTGGTGGGTCTTGGACACACTGAGATGTCCTGTTTGAGTGAGAACTCTTGCAGGAAATAAGGTCTGTGCTGTGGGATGAACCAGCTGGCTGGACTTTGCAGGGTGTACCTGTGGGGTCACACCTGTATCATGCTTACCCTCAAGTAAGGAAACATTACATTTGTCAGGGTTTAGTCTTCCTAAAAAGCCTAAAGTTCGGCTTTCTCGATTTAACTCATGATTCAGATAAAAAAAAATCTGATTATTCTGATGGCACTTCACAAGGGGGAACTCATGGTGGCCCAGTCACAACTTTCCCTGCTTTGGGTTTGCAGAACATTCCTTTTGCTCTGGACTGAGTGAGTACATTTGTCAAGTATGGAGTGTCTCTGGAGCTGTGCAGTTCTGGTCCTGAAGAACACTGTGCACTACACTAGTCAGTGGTACTGTTGTGTATTAATCCTATGAAGCAGGTGCTGATCAGGTGCTGGAGTTTAAAGGGGCTGTTGCAATACAAGAGAATATAAATCATCACCTTAACTGCAGCCTGTGGTAACCTGTGTCATGAGATTCGGCCTAACAACAAAATAAATCAGCTGGAAATGGTCGAGGAGACGAGTGCCTGGATTTTATCAACTGAGTGTTGAATAATTATGAGCTCCCAGTCTATATGCCCAGCTCTCTCACACACACACACACCCTGGAAGGGTATAGCTGATAGAGATGTAGCCCAGAAGTTCATTATTTAACAGTTGTAGGAGTTATGAATCCCAGGGACTGCCTGACTTTAGGATTCTTCTTCTAGGCTACATCATATTTAAGTAACACTGGATTTTTTGGGACTGGTGAATACATGAATCAGAGGGATGAAGTTCAGGGTAAGAAAAGATGTGTTTATGCAAAAGAATAACATTGGACCAAAAGCAAATGAATAGGTATTGCCTATGAATGTCCTGAGAGAATATTTGAGAATGTTCCTAGCTGTTTAAAATAATCAAATTTCTAATTTTCTAATCAGTCTGACTGCCTGTAAGGTGGAGTCTGAAGTGTGTTATATAAAGTGATTTCTGCACTGCCAGGAAACTGAATTTAATGGCTAAAGTCCTCCAAAATATCATCAGGTATTTTAACTGGATAACATACACACCTCAGTCACACACAGTATTTCTTTGCCATCACCACTAAAAGAGGTGTTACATTTCCATGCTCTTTTTATAGCAATATTGACTTTTGGAACTCAAGTAACTTTTGTAAGCTGGCTGAGGAATGCATTTAGGAAGAAAGGCTAGGGATGATTTTGCTAGAACATCCTTATCAGTGGGGAAAAAAAAAAAAAAAGAAAAAAGTTACATCTGTTATAATTTACCAACATGGAAGCTTCTCAAGGTCTCTGCTGTTCAGAACCCAGCAGGAATTTTCCAACTGAGGAGGAGAAAGAGAAATGTTTACTAAAAGACAGATTGCAAACATCAAGCTGCCTGTTCTACAATTGATCTTTTACACTGAGAATATCCAGAAGATCTATACTTACGGTTAGGCTGTTATTTGGAAAGGCAGTAAAAGACATTCTGCTGAGAGCTGCTTCATATTAAGCCTGCATCTTGGGGAGCTTTTAAAATACAGCAATTGCCTTGGATGTTCATTTCAAGGCAGACCCTGCTCTGTACATTTAAAGTAATGATTTGTCTTTCAGATCCACTGGAAGTATGTTGTTTTGGTTTTTTTCTTGCTTGATAAAGAAGCATAAAAATATCACAAAGGAGGAAAAAAAGGATATTAGATAGGTTTTTGTTAAATGCCACACTCTAGCCCCTTCCTAAACAAATAGAGTAAAAAAAAAAATTTAAAAATAGGCACCTCTGTGCTTAGAACTCTGGAAAGTAGGTGCAAATATTCTTGAGTAGGGAAGCTGTCAAATTCAGTCTATGGTGCTAGCTCAGCGAAACACAATGAGAGAGACCTGAAACGGGGGAATGATGTTGGCTGAACAATCATATTGTCATTTTTAGGAGAGGCACATTTGTCATATTGACCTTTAGTTTCTTATCACTGCAGATTGATCTCCTCTTTTGTGCTCTTTCCCCAGCCTCTTTAATCAGTATTTTCTTGATGAGAAGACAACTCAGAAGAATTAGAAGATTAATTTTTACTAGGAAGAAACTTGAACCTTTATCAATTGCCTCCTCAATTGCTGCTACTAGGAGACTGAGACATGGAAAAGTGATTTATTGTTTACTGCCATGCTTCCTGCCTGGTAACTTGAAACTACATCCATATCCCCATGGCTCCTATCTGGTACACATGCACAAACTTGTCTTCTGTGCAGCAGCAAAGCTTTGCTAGGAGCTGCATTTGCCTCTTCCACTGCCTCTGTAAGTCTCAAATCCTCTGCAATAAAGCACCTTTCAGCATCATTTCCCAGCAGAGGTGAGGGAGCTATAAGCTAGCTCCTTGACTCTGATATTAAATTCCCTGGTATTAATGGATTATGGCCTTCAGCGTTGTCAATATTATTGAGAACAATATTGTGACACTGGAAACTCAATCAAATCTCCCCTTTTACATTAATTGTTACACAGTTTTTACCTTAGCACTCTGAAAGGAGGCAATTATCCTGGATCCATGAAAACATCTCAAATGTAAAAGACAGCAAGCAAGGATTGTTGCCCCTTCACCCTCAAAGAAAGCAGATAACTGCAAAAAATAAATAAAGGCACTGGTGAAAGAGAAAGGGATATAAATGGGGCCATAGGTCATAAGAAATTCTGCCTGCTTGCATCTACAGTGCTCTAACAGTTCAGCAGTTTCTCAAAGGCAAGTGGGTTGCTTTCACAGCATTTTTTGATGCATCTTGTGGGAGACCTGGGGCTAAGGATTGTCCAGGTGTCATCTGTAATTCTACTTCCCGCCCATTTCCACACATGTAATGAAAACTCCTGTACCCTCTTCTTTTTGAGCATAGCTGGCTAAAGGCAAGGATCCCCAGGGAAATCTATGGGAAAATTGTGTTCCTGCTTTATGATGACAGTTAAGTCTGACATTAAAAACTAATAAAGAAAATTCTAGCTGAGCCCAAAATGGTACTGGCTTTTTGGACTAAAATTTCAGGATTGAATAACTGGAATTTCGGTATCATCCCATATGTGTTTGTGAAGAAGTACTGCCCCAAATAGCTAGTGATGCAGTGCTTTCTCAATCCTGCTGAATAGATCTATTTTAAGTCAATTCCCAGTAAAAGAGTTTGAAAACCTCCTCTTGCTGTTGGCATTGTTTATTTGCAACAGTAAAAATCTGCCAAATTTCAGGCTTCATCCTGAAAACACCAGGAGCTTGGTCCCTTATCCAGCAAAGCTTTTCATCACAAGCTTAATTCCAAAACACATGAATAGTTCCCAGTGACATCTGCAGAGTAAGTCATCTTCAACAGCTTGGGTTAAGCACACCCAATGCCCTGGATCAGAGGGTTTTGTTTGTATGTTCAGAGCACAGCACTGCAGGAAAATGTTCACCAGCAGAAGGTAGCTGAGGAGCTGCTGCCTGGTGTCCCACAGAAGAGAGAGGGGCAGGGGAGAGGGGAACAACTGTAGTGAGCATTTGGGAAGGACAGGAGGCTTGTCTTCATACCTTAAAATTTAAATTCCACTTCATCCCAAAGACTGGCTTGGCTGGGAGATTATCTTGGTCTGGGAGTATGTTCAGGCCAATGTCACAATGTCAGGGCTTCTGCAGCCTTTGGAGATTTCTGTCTGGTTTCAGGGGTGTCAGTTCCCCTGCAGACCTCTGCCCAGTGAGGGAAATGCTGCAGAAGATGGAATGGCACATCCTTGCTCAGCCCTCAGAGATGTAAATGGGTGCTGATGAAGGAAGATCTTCTGCTACAGCCTAAAACCTGGCACAGACATCACTTCACTGCACTGAATGATTTTAATCTGAAGGAGCCTTCTTTATTCAAATCTCATCACTCTTGACTGACATCAGGAGTAAAAATCTTGAACAGAAATGTTTCTGTCTGTAATTATAATTGGATTTTACAAACCTCCCCTCTCCACTACATTGACCATGCAATAATTTCTTTCAGTTCTGTGCTTGTTTGGGAAGAAAGCCTGGTATATCATGGCCATGAATTGCTCTGTAGAGAGTTTACGAGGGCAGGTGCACAGGAGAGAAATGGATAGTATGGCCTTGTGTTGACAGGAACTGTTACTGGCGTGGAAAAAGTTTAATTTCAATCTCACTATAAAACATGAAGCAAATAACTTTGTGGGTAGTGAAACTCACACCAAGCACACTCATCCAAACCTCACAAACATGAAGAGGGCTCTGACTCACATGATTTGAAGGCAGCTCAAGGTGAAACCACCTTGTTCACAGGAAATGAAGAAGTGACAGGCAGTGCTTGGGTAGGTGGATGGCTTTATTTGAGTCCAGGGAATGAGCTGCTGTGCACAAGGTGTCCTCTGGCTGTAGGACTGCAATACTCCAATCCTCTGGCTGTAGGGTGGAAATCGCCTTGTGCAGCAGAAGCCTTCATGTTCAGGAGCTCAGAGTGTGGCTCACCAGGAATGCTCTGTAATAATGTAAATTATGGTGGGGCCTTTTGCTCTGTTTTGTTGTGTTTTGTTGTGTGAGAGCTGACTGCTGCTTTTAGCAGCCTTCTCAAGATGAGCTCTCAGCTGATGTGGAATGCATTTACAGCTCTGGCTGCATGAGCTGCACTCTGATGGAACAGTCTCGCTGCACTTCCAGTTTCTGCAATTCTCTTCCTTTGAACAAATGGGAAAGAAATAGTTGATCATTAAACTTAGCAGATAATACTGTTTACAGCTACTGAACACATTAAAAATGGTTTTCTGTCCTAGGCAGCTTTGTGCCTTTGAGGTTTCTGCTTGTGTATGGAAAAAAAGTAATTTTGCTCTGCTACAGGCAGCAGCACAGGAGTCCTGTGTTTGTCCAAATTCCTGCTCTGAAATCCTGCTTCTGTTCTTTCTCAGCATTGCTTGTTCCAACCCAGGATCATTCAGACTGAAAAGGTATCCTTAACCTGATTGTATGGAAAGCATGAAAGACACAGGTCAAGGCCTGTCAGCTAAATAAACTAGTATAATAAACTGAATTATGCCAGGGGGAAAGCAGGCACAGAACCTTCCATGGAATTTTGTGCTGCTTTTGCCATTCAGACAGTTGGCCACATCTGTCCATGATACGTGAAATACCAGCTTTGGCTCCAGTATTTTTAATGCAGGGTTTTTGCTCCTGCATGCTGTGGGTTTCTCATGAGCTGTCAGAACAGGCAAAAACATGTGAAATGCTCCTTCAGACTAAGCAAAATGATTGCTTTGAAAGACACATTGCAAAAGGGTTGTAAGGTTCTAAGGTTCTAAGACACCAGGTACCCTCTCATGAAGTGTTGGCCATCTCCGTGCTCATTATCATTAGGACAGGAAGAGCTTCGTGGGATGTAGGACCAGGCATGGGTCTGGGTGTGGAGTTTGCAATTTCCTTCCCTTCCACTTTTTTCCCGAGCCAGAAAAGTGAACCTTTGTTTTAAAAATAACTCTGGTGGCCATCTGAATCATCATCATCATGGACACTGAGGTGGATTATTTGCTCTCCTGAACCTTGCCTTAACAACCTCTTTGCAATTCTATGGAAAATAGTCATACTGCATTTTTTTTTTCTTTTCAGGGAAAGGTTTGCTCCCAGCATAGAAGGATAGGAAAATCATATCATTGAGTTTTATTGTTCCTTGCCAGTACATGGCAATCTCAGCTCCTGAATCTTTAGTTTGTAATGAGATGCAAACTAGAGTGTCATCGTCAAAGAATTTTGCCCCTTAATACGTCTTTAAATTGAGGTTTTAATGACTATAAATTACAACAGTTTTAATCAGCACACTATATATTTTTATTACTATGAATGAGCTCTAGAGACATTATTTATGAGGAATCAAGTGAGATTTTATGGTGGGAACCTTAAAGGGGCTCCTTTCACTTAATTAATTAAAAGCAGCTCCACCAAAATCAGCAAAATTATGTGACAGTAGGAGGGATCAGAGACTTCTCCATCTTTACTGAGCACATCTGAATTCCTTCACAATCTGGTAATTAACAGAAGATTAATGACTCTTGCATCAAGCCTTAAAACATGGTCAGGTTTTTGAGGTTTTTAAGCTCAATGGAAAACCCAAGGTACCTCAGTACCTGAGAACACAACAGGGAGCCTTTCATTGCTGGTATTATTTTCCAGAAACAGTAACAGAATTTCTTACCCACTGGGAGATATCTGGTCATCTAAGAATCCCCCCTCCTCTGGAGAATATTTTAAGGACAAAAGACATGTGTTGACCTCTCAAAAACAGAATAAATATGTCCCTAATAAATAATGACTGCTTTAGGGAAACGATTTTCTTGCTAAACATTGAAAGTGGAACTGAGCAACTAGATTTGCTTCAACTGAGTTGTAAACTGTCAAGCTTATACAGAACATGGGAAATAAAACTGGAATTTTATTTGATGTAGTTATAGAGGAGACCAAGAAAATAGCCATTACTGACTGAAAACTGCCTCTTGGGCACTGTAGGGAGAAGTAAGTCCCAGTATAACAAGAACAATAAAATGCCATGAAATATAAAGAAATGTCTGTGTCAGTGATTTTGCAAAATTGTTTTGAGCAGCTACACATTTTTGCTGGAGATTGCTTGCAGAATGAACTGGAAACACTTTTCCTAATGACCAATGTGCAATATAAAAGTCACATGGCTTTCTTTCATCCCACAGGGCTGGAAGCTCTGAATCTTAATCAAAACTTTTTTCCTCTCACTTGGAGCAGTACTCATAGCCCCAAGGACAGCTACACAATTTGGGTAGCTCTGTGAAAGAAGATGTATTGCCTGCCATAGGAACATAGATCCTAAAAAAGTCAACATGCAGCTGGCAGGAAAGGCAAGCAAACACCCCAATGGTTTAATATAACAATGAAATGTTTAAGTTGTCTTGATGAAAGCTCTGTTCTAGCTGACTCAACTAATGCAGGCATTGTCACTCAGAACCAGAGGGGATATTCTGATCATCAGGTGAAAGTAGAATTTAATCAAATTATTTTTCTGGGGAGCCCAAGACATTGAGTCTAACTCAAGCCTGTCTTTTGGAAGTATTTCAGTAAGTTGCAATGATTGATCACACTTGAAGTTTAAAAATGTACATCTAGTTTCTAATTCGGATTTGCCTGGCTCTAGTTTCCAGACATTAGTTCTTTTTTCATATTTACTGTTTGAGTTCTTGTTTAGTGCTTCCTATTTGTTAGTTGTGAAAGTGTTTATAGTACTGACACTTTTTGGTTTTATTTTTGAATATGACAGAATATTTAGAGTTTCCTAGATCTAAATCTCATGCTGGATTCCTCCATATTGTGACTGTACTTTTGTAGAGCTTTTCCCAATTTCAGTCTAGACCTGTGTCTAAGAAATGGAGAAAACAAGGCAAAATAAA